AGCCTCAGCCCAAGGCGCTGACTCGCAAGCCCCTCCTGCTCAACAAAGTGGAGGGCTCGCAGGAGGGGGGGAACATGGCAGCGATAGTGCCCAAGGAGGATGGGGTCATCAGCGTCTCCGAGGACAGGTACCGGGAGCGGGCGTCCGCAGGTCCTGTGGGGCCGCGGTGGTGGTCTGTTACCTCCACCATCACTCGTCGGTGATGGTGGTGGTGGTGGTGGACCTGCGGTGGGTCCTGTGGTGGTGGTCCACCACCATCACCGGTGAGTGATGGTGGCAATGGACCACCACCATCACTGCTGTGACTGTAGACTTCACCACCAGAATCCAGGCAAGCCTCAGTGGGTTGCGGTGGTCCAGCATAGGGACATTGCTTTAGACAGCTGCATCTGGTCCTGGAGCTTGGGGCAGGGGTGTCCAGCTTGGTGTCCATCTCCTCCTCCATCGCCATGTGGGTCAGGGCAGTGAGTGGGCTGGGGCGCTGCTGGAACTTGCAGGACTTGAGTGACTTCTCTTAATGCGGGTAAAATGGGATTTGAGATCACTTTCATCACAAGGATTGCTGTGGAGATCTTTGACCTTGCCTAAAGATTGCGGTGGCATTGGCTAAAACAGCAGTTTTGGTTCCTGTTTCCCCTTTCCAAACGTTTCCTGGTAATTGGTTAAAAATACCATGTATCAGTGATAAGATCTTGGAGTTCAATCCCGTGTTGTACAGCTGCCAAAGAGGAGAATGTTTTCAGGCTGTTTAGCTGGGCTGTGCAGGGTCTGAGGCTGCCCAGAGGCAGCACTCTCTCTTCTGAAAGAGCTCAAACTTAATTCAGCCCTGCAGCTGGAGCTCCAAAACTCCATCCCGAAGGTGCCCGCCTTTAAAGTAAGAGCTTATTTTTCTTACAGAGTCCATAAATAATTGCTTTAAGTGGAGTTTTTTTTGCAACTCGGGTGCATGGTGTAATCTGTGTCCCCAGCTTGAAAGACAAATGTTGACTGATGTGTGAATATGTTTTGATTCTCTAGGTTTTTTTGGTGGACTGTTTCTCTTGGATGCCTGTTATCCTGTTGAGTGTCTGCTTTTATGTCTCTGTTAGCTTTCTGGAAAACTAGCAGTATTTCTTTCATCTTGTCTTTGTCCTCACTGTAAGTTAGTTTTCAGCTAGTTGTCAAATATGTGCAAATTTAAGTTCATCTAAATTGTGGTCTCCAAGTGAACTTTCATGCCTCATAGCAAGAGAAATTGAGCTATGTAAAACAGGTACACTGTCAGTGGGACTTTAAGCAGAGTTTTACATTGTTACATGCTCACCATTTTATTGCCTTTACATTTTTTATGTATTTGTTGTGAAGCTGAATAAAGCTTGCGTGTGTTTTGGCTCACTGTAGCTTGCTAGCCTTGCTCAGCCAATTCTTTTTAGCTGTAAGAAAGTGTTCCTGAAATTCATTTGCTCACATATAGGTGTCTCTCTCAATGTCTGCCTCTTGCCCCCACCTTGGAACAATTAAGTAGCTTCTGCTGGTTTAGCAGGTATGAGTTCTTGAGACTAGGTTGGTGCTCCAAGTTGGTGTTTTTATGTAGAGAAAGCGATTGATCAGAGATCTTTGTTTCACTAATAACTGAGATGTCAGGTTCAAGAAACAAGTGGTGAAGCGGAAACCAGGGGTTTCACACTAAGAAACTCGCTGGTTTGTGAGCAACCATCCCTCTTCCTTCCCATCCTACAGCAAACCCCTGGTGTAGGTCAGTTAGGTCCTGCTTGCTGATGAAACCAGATAAAGAAATTTGCTCCTATATTTGCTGATAGATGTCTGAAGTTTTGCTGGTGATGCAGGATAGCTCTACGGACATTAAAATACTGTAGTAAGTCTGGAGGTTCCCAGGCTATTTTCTGTTTAAAGGCACTAATCGAGTAATTTGTCTGCTTGTGGGGCTGGTTTGCAGTGTCTTTGAGATGCTGTAAGCCATGATAGTGCCTTTTATTTCTTTAGGCATGAAGATGTTGATTGATTGCTTTTTCTTTCATTTTCCGCCTGCATTGGCATTTTTATTGTAATTAAAAGGTTCAGAGTCTAAAGCTTATTTGGAAGGGATAGCAGGTTGGGAGTCAAACTTGGAGGTTTCAGTATAGCTGGGGTGGAAGCATAGTCTGCCAGACTTTCAATACCTGTGGCTTATGGTTATGCTTGTGCAGATCCTTACGGTACCTTTTCCTGCTTGGACCTGCCTTCTAGTATTAGTGTTGACATGATTGGTTAATGGCCTTGGAATGTGGAGATTCCTGGAAACTGCAAAGGACGGTTATGGAGATGCTATCTGTCTCTTTACTTGTTAGCCAAATAAGCGAGTTTTGGCCATGTTTCCCAGACTGTGATATGTACTGCTTATATGAGAGAAATGCTCTGAAACTTTTGCAGAGAGCTTCAGCTGGAACAACTTGCCATTTCCAGTACTTGCCTCTAGCTGGGGAGGACGGGTCTTCTGGAGACCGAGAGGAGTTCTCTGTTGGTTTGATGGTTAATGGCTGAACATATCATTGCTGAAGTGCTAGCAGTCTTAACATACACGACAACTAGGTACTGCTTTAAAGGTTTTATTTAGTGCATGATGTGGCTCTATACCTGTAAACCCTTCAAAGCAGGAGCTTGGTCTCTAGTCTCTAGTTTGTATGGCACCAGTGGTGTTATCAGATTTTAAAAGACACGGAAGTGGTTTCAGCTATAGCTTGTAGACATAGTCATGCATTATATAGCCCTGAATTGTTGTATTTGTAGCACATACATGCACCTATTTTAAGAAATAAAATGAAAACTAGGTAATAATAGAGAGTGTGGTTATTCCTTATAAAGAATGGCATAGAGGGGGAAAGAAGGAATCTCAGGGGGTGTTTACATATTTGACTAGATTATCTAAACTCTACATAACCTGCAAGGTTGGAGTTTCTTTTCAGTGCACATCACCTGTATGCTCTGCATATTTTCTCTTCTGAATCCAGTCGTGTTAGTTGAGCGATGTGCATTGCTTCCTAATCTTAGTTAATTTGGCTCTTTCCTTACTAGGCAAGATAGATTGAGTCTATCTTTTTACAGTATAACTGGTGTGCATCAGGAGAGATAAAATGGAATTTTATTTTGTGTTTTTCTTCTAAAGAAAAGAGATGCACCTGTCTAGGCAGGTGAGAGTTAAAGGAGTGACAGCATTTGTTATCCAAGAATGTATAAATCTGATGCAGGAGGGATATAAGAAAGAAATTATTAGCTTTCAGCCGTTCAGTTTTGCCTGCCAGCAAATGGGTGGAATTAAGACACATATACCCAAAGGTGTAAAGTCTTGAGTGATCCATAGCATTGAATGCCCTAGGTGCTACACATGAAGCTAAAGTGGGATTTTCGTAATGTACACAGCTGGCCCTAAGTCATCTTCAGCTTCCTGTGTGTTAAAAGCATGTGCTACCATTTCAAAATTGCTGAGTGTCTTTGTCTTTTGTTGCCTTCAGAGGGAGATGTTGGTGTTGGGCATGTCTGGAAAGTAGGTCACTGGCATGTCAAGTTCAGACATATCTAACTCTGTGCTCCAAAGAAGATTTAGTGTCATTAATCTTACCTGAGCATGGGTATATGGTGGGAGAGGGGCACTGACTCACCCAGCTTCCAGTGCAAGCAGTTCTGCTTGCTGTTGGCACACTTCTGTGTTTCTCAAGAGCCTGCCAAGTGATGTGAGTGCTAATTCAGCTGGGTTTCCAATGTGCTGATCGTGTGTCACCGTGCAAGACTGGCAGGAGGGGGCTAGGAGTCATCGTGGTGAATCTGCACTTTGCCACTAGCCATCTTTTTTTTTTTTCCACGAGCTATATTGTAGGTAAGGAAAATGTTAGATGTGTGCTGGTGTAGGCAGCTTTCCTGGTAATTACAAACTCTAGTCTGTGCACCCATTTGGGTGGGAGTTCTGTGCTCACTTCCATGCTACAGACCTTGGAAATGTAGGTGTTGCAGTCAAGAACTGGTCTCTTTAAAGTATTCATGGGAGGTAAAAGCTTTCATGGTTAACTCAAAATTGTCAAAATTTTTTTTTTTTTTTAAAAAACCAGGCATTCTATTCTAGTCTGCTAGAAGGTGACAAAACCTAGAAGAAAAACAATATTTATGCCATAGGATTTTTTTTTTTTAAATAAGGGAAGAGACACCTTTGTCTTCTCCACTACCTTGTGTCATCTTAAGTTCCTTTTGAACTGAGATGTCTTGGCTTCTTTGTATGGATCACTGTGAGCCCAGCCTGTTTGTCATGTATGTTCATATTAGTGTCTTCATCTCACATAGGGAAAACTGTGCAGAGCTTGTATTACTAGGTTTGGTTTACAGTTTGAGGTTTTTAAATGTAGATGTGCACTTAAGCTGTTGTCCAAAGCTTGTTTCCTGGGTATGCTAACTAGCAGCTTTTTTAGAGGGTACAAAAAATGAACGACCCTCTTGTGTAGATGAAATCTCAACTTTGCTGAACTAATGGTGAACTAGGAATGGGAATGTGCAATATGTGACAAAAAGTGTGGGGGTTGTCTTTGGCGTCCTGCTGACATGCCTTCTAGTATGGAGAAGTGTGATCTTTCCACCCTTAGATATATGAGAAGCAGTCTTTTGCTCCTTGTGGTTCTTGTCCAGATCTGGACCATAAAGTGTATATATAGCATTACAGTGCATGTCTGTGAAATACCTCTAATGGAAAGGTGGGATTCTTCATTCAGTGCTGCATCCAGGCAGGCTGCGAGGAACCACAGACCCTTGGTAAACTCTGTTGGGTTTCCTTTCTCCAGTGGTGGACTGGTAGAAAGTGATTGGTTTGCCCAACTGTACAGGTTTGTAATTCTCATCTAAGCACAGGATTATGTCACTGGTGGCTGCTCGACTTTGTGTGTGGCTGTTGGTTCGCAGAAGTAGTGCAGGCAGTGTGAGAACTGGTTTTGATGTTGTCTGTGTATGTTTATCAGTCTAAGCCTGTAGGTTTCACACCCAGGTTATTGCAGCATGAGCAGTAGTTGAAGGTGCGGATGTTCTTTGCAGGTGTAAAAAGACTTGTCCCTGCCTGAAGGTTCTTTAAATTTTGATAAAAACATCAGTCACCGATAAAATTGTTGAGGGGAA